GTTATGGTTGTTAGCATTTTTGTGATCAGCAAGCAACATTGATTTAAAAAAAAGAAGAAAGCATGTTACATGTCACGCGTCACGCGGGTTACATTTACCCATGACACCTTTTGGTCATGGTCCAATAACCATGTGCTCAACTGGTCCACCATCTTGATGAACATTAAGTAATTCATATACGTTCATGAAATGTGTGAGAACTTCTTGAATCTTATTACATAACCTCTATATCATAAAGCAAATGAAGAAGCCTAAGCCATGTATTACACTGTGATAAACACTACAGACATTTGAGAACACTCGAGAAATGTAGAAAACACTCGCCTGCGGCTCATGTTTTCTACATTTCCCTTGTGTTCTCAAATGTTCCTCTTTTTTATCACAATTTAATACACGGCTTAGGCTTCTTTATTTGTTAATTAATATGCTATCCCTGAGCTAGTTCAATAAAGTGATTCAAATAATGTTTTTTATTATTGATGATCATACAAAATCACAATCAATTCCTTTTGATGATTTGACAGGTCTTCCTAAGCTCCACTTGCTAAGCATGTTAAGAAAAGTGTTTCATACTCATTGAACATAAGAGCTGTACTAGAAGAAAAGCCACTAAGAAGAAACAATAACAGCCACGATATCTTCAATCAATTGACCAGCCCTTCACACAAACATACTGAGCTAGTTGTGAAATATATGCACCAAAAAGCGTTCACAAGTTAAGAATGTGTGATTTACCGCCATTTTTCCCACAAAAAAAACACAGAAATATTGTGAATTTTAATTTCCATTTACAGAGTAAAACTCAAGTGTGAATGGCACAGATTATACCAAATAACAACTAGCTGGTGGAAAGTGTTATTCAGCATATCTAAATTACCAGCAGGACTTGAAAAAGGAACCTATCCACTCGTCTGAGACAAGTGCATTTTCCTCTTGGGCAAGTAACTTTCTCTGCTCACTTGCCCCATGGGCTTTAGCCCAGGCAAGCCAACCGCCGACTAAATATTTTGAGAACAATTTTGAAACAAAGAGCAAATTAATTAAGGTACATGGGCAATAAAAACTTGACAAAAATTGTAGCGTTGTTTTGTTGACTGCGTGACGCATGTTCCTGTTCAGAAGTGGTCACCCAGCATGTGATCAAAATCTGCCCTGATCAAATTTCTTTCCACATTTAAAAATAGCTGTGTTTGCAGGAAAGTGCTGTGAAGGCACTGTGCAATTCTTTGTGAACATTTTCCAGTTTCACAGTACAAAACCAAACTAGACATCAAAGTACCAAAGATGCAGAAACTGTACATGTAGTGTTTCACAGTCAGTGAAACATCCAGATTTAACCAAAATAAGTGGACGTAATACAGATTCAACTCAACACTTGACCATGTGCTTTTAATCACAACCATAATTTATTTCGGCCGTACACAATTACCTCATTGATACTACAGTATGCGTGCATTGTCTCATGCTCAAAGGTAAAATTATCACATGCTGAAGTTCAGTCAAGTGGAACAAAGTTCGTTGCATATGAAACTCAAAGATGTACTGCAAATTTGTTCTATCTCATGATGGGTTCTGGAATTAAACGTTTCATTTTATTTTAGTCTCAATTTATGTGGGTTAAAATGGTAGAACTTATTTCACAAGTGAATTCATAATGCTCAGAGCATTTTTTTTTTCGGTCCAGATGATAGTCCACTCAACCACTCGATTCTAGTTGCCAGACTGACAACTTCCATTTCAAGTCAGTTGCCAGCTCCAAATTCTAGTCGCCATGGTGACTAAAATGGTCGCAACTTGGAGGGTTGTAAGACATCAACACTAACCCTGAGCTAAAGTTGAAATTGTACACCACGCATGGAAATACAGAGATACCAGTACAGAAGGTCGATGGTTTGGTGGTTGAGCACTTCAATTAGAAAGTAAAGACAGAGCTTCCCAAGGCATACTCACAGGACAGTGTCCTGTCAAGAAGAAACCAGATCTCATGCTCTTAGACAGCAAGCACGTGGCCACACCTTCAGCAAATAGAGATTAAGATCCCTCTTTACCAAGAACATTTAGAAGTAGGCATTCTGATTGGATGCAACTGCCCCTGAGCTATCAAGCCATGTGAGGTGATTAATGGAAAGGGAGATGCCCATACACCATTAGAACACTACTGGGATGGGGAATCATTGGCCCAGTCACCCCAGTCAAAGAACTGCTGAACGATGCTGAGAATGAGGATATAACTTGTTGCAGAAACTTCACTCAAGAGATTGGACTGGCCAAACATATCGACAGGAAGTTTGTTATAGATACACAAATGAAGGAGGTCATGAACACCTATCAAGTGAGAGGAATGCTCGAGTAAGATTACTCTGAAAGATACACTGGAGACCAGGCCCTCTCCCAGGGATGATGGACATTATGCAATGCCCCTACCATTGAAAGAGCCAAACACTAAGTTGCCAAACAATCGAGATATAGCCTTCCATCACTTAAAACAGCCCAAGAGGAGATTTGCGTCAGATGAGAAGTACCGAAATGATTATGTAGCCTTCATGAACACCATTATCCAAAGAGGCTATGCTGAGAAAGTATCTAAAGTGAATGAAGACGAAAATGAAAATAATCAGCAAGTATGGTATATTCCTCATCACAGGGTTTACCACCTAAGAAGCCAAACAAGATGAGAGTGGTGTTTGATTGCTCAGCTGTATTTAAAGGGGAATCCCTGAACAAGCATCTGCCAGGACCTGACATAACCAACAACTTGACAGGTGTTCTATGCAGATTTTGCCAGGAAGCTGTGGTTCTCATGTGCAACATAGAAGAAATGTTCCATCAAGTGAAGGTCAGAGCGAGGCATGGAGAGACTTGTTGAGCTTTCTATGGTGGGAGAATGGAGACACATCCAGCCAACCAGGAGAATAATGAATGATAGTCCACCTATTTGGAGCTACGTCCTCCCCAGGCAGCTCAAACTTCACCCTCAAGTCAACTGCAAACGACATTGAAAGGGAGATCAGTTCTGCAGCAGCTACCTTCCTTTGAGAGGATTTCTATGTCGATGATGGTCTTGTCGGTGCCATCTGTTATATCATGTGTTCTATTACATGAAGTAGGACGCTCCAATAACTGCTATATCGTGTGTTGTTTATATCAAGTAGGATCTTGCTAAATATTCCATGTGTTCTATGTAGTTGTGGTTCTTCTACTGTTATCGGGGTTGGTTTTAACACCATCAGTAGACAAAGCTGTACCGCTGATTAAGGATGCAAAGGAGGTGTGCAAGAGAGTAGGATTTAGGCTGCATGCATTTACCTCCAACAGCAAAGAAGTTATCAACAGTGTACCCTTAGAAGACAGAACGGAGGAAATCAAGAATAAAGATCTAGATCAAGATGTTCTCCCAAGATAGGGTGCTTGGGATTAAGTGGTGCAGTGAGCTCCATCGTCGATGCTCTGGGCTTTGTGGCCATTTTGTGGCCGCAGACAACAAGGTGGTGGTGCTTGGTTACATAGCTAACAAGTCATGAGGGTTCCATGTCTGCATAGCCAATTGCGTCCAGGAGATTCAAGACAAAACCTTGCTGAAGCAATGGAGATATGTTGAAACAAAGTCCGACCCAGCAGAGGACGCACATGTGGTCTTTGTGCTCAGGATATCTCAAATTCTAAATGGATTTTGGGACCCAAGTTCTTCTGGAAAAAGGAAAACCAGTGGCCAGAAGCTACGGGTGGTGAGGAGACAATTGCTGATAAACCCTCAGAACAAGATCCTGAAGTAACAACAGTTGTTGCCATGGCAACAACATCTGTCCCATAAGTATCATTGGCAGATCACATCAAATACTTTTCAAAGTGGTTCAACTCACAGAAACCTGTCGCTCTCTAAGCAAGAATTTTGAAACTTTGAATGGAAGAAAGAAATCAGCCCTTGTTGTGGCAAAGGCCCAAAGTCACAGCAGAAGAAACAAGGATGTAACTCAGCTCCCTCTAACAGTGAAGGAGCTGCAGCACGCAGCAACTTTTGCGATCAAAGCTACTCAAGCCACAACATTTAAGGATGAAATTAAGTTACCATCAAGGGCCAAAGTGAAAGATTTCCAAGGAAGATCCACACCAAGAAATGCCACTTCACTGCAGAAACTCAACTTGTTCCTAGATCAGGATGGCATTGTGCGCGTGGGTGTCCAAATATGGTGAGTGGACCTGAAGGATGAGACCAAGTCGGTGATCTTATTACCAAGAGATGGCCATATCATGAAACTGCTGGTCCAGCACTTCCATGAAGTATGTCTGCATCAAGGAAGAATGACAACCCTCAATGAAATAAGATCAAATGGTTACTGGATTATTGGTGGCACCTCTTCATTCTCTTGTCACATTCTAAGCTGTGTAAGGTCTCATAAGATTTGAGGTTCTACTCAATCACAGAAGATGTTAGACTTGCCAAAGGACAGACTCCACCAAACGCCACTATTCACATACTGCGCCTTGGACTATTTTTAGCCTTGGATTGTTAAAGAAAAAAGAAAGGAGCAAGGCACCAAAAAAATGGGTTTCTACAGGCAGTTTTTTCGATTTTTGCAAATTTATGTCTTTTACCACTGCAAAAAAAAGTGGTCTTACAGATTTCCCTGAAGAACCAGCTCCGACTAAAGTAAATTTCACCGAAGGAAAGGCAAGAAAATTTACTGTCAGTTTTGCTTTTTGTACTCATGTTGATGTCATAAAATATCAAAAAACACTGACATTTTCCTTCGAGTGCACACAGATTACTTGAGCTTTCGTCCTCAGCGTGCAAGCAATCATAAAACTCTAGAGAGCCACCCTAAAAGCAAGAATTCCACCACCACTGGGAACCATAATTGTCTGTGATCCAAAATATCTCTAAGCTACCAAAATCATGCATAAGTCCATACTTTGAACTAAAATAATAGAAGTGTTACAGAAATTACACACCACTTAAAAAACAATTGTGTCAAATTCCTACATAAAGGTGGTAAACAAACCTCCATCCATCCTTTAATATCTTTCTCAGCAACTGAGATTTCTTGTTTATGAGAACTTGCCATTTTCTCTATAAATTCCATTACCTGAAGTTAAAAAAAGTTTGAAATACAAGATTGTGAGTATTAACCAGATGCTAACTCCATGCCTCCACTAACAATAATAATAATGACAAATAACAAAAATAACAATAATAATACTAATACTAATAATAACAATCTAATTACAATAACAACCTTCCCAATATCCCTTGCAGCTACAAAATTTGTGTGTCAAGTAACTTTGTCAGTTTGAACTTTGGGATGGTGCTACATTTTATGAAATTATCACTTGCTATGAAATCTCTATTTTCTGCACACTTAATGTGATGATGCCATCAGTCAAGCGACTTCAGTCGAACCTCTCACAAGCGACCACCAAAAATATCAAGCCCAGTTGGTCACTTATGGGAGGTGATCACTTATGACATCTTAGACCATATTGGGTCAAAATTTTGCCTCACCACAAGGTAACTGCGGAGACTTACCCAATGTTTTAAAAACAATCTGTTACTTCCCGTTGAGAAGTTTCTTTTTTTGTGGTCTTATGCAAGACCATTAAGTCAGAGGCCAATGTTGAGTCACTTTGAGGACAAGATGACATGTGGCAGACTTCCAGGGGTACAAAATAGTTTGACAGGTAGAGTGGGTACTAGAAATTGTGAGTTATTGTTTTCGAGTTGCTTTGAGTGTAGCATTGTTGTACTGTGTAATGGTAGCCATTTAACCTGTTTCATGAAAATTTTGAAGAGCTTTCCCTCAAAAATTAGTTGTAGTTGTTCATGGTAAGTTTTTTTCTATTTCAAAATCAATCTGTCAAGCTGTTTATCGAAAAGTAACTACAGTGCCCAGCCTTGTTTGTACTTAGCTATGTAATTCAAGGGTTGCTGAGTTAGTTTCCTTGGCGATACGGGAGTTGTTTGTTCACGCAAGCCCACATGTCAAGACTCAGCTTGTGTTAAGTGCAGATTGCACTGAAGTTAATACACTTTCGCAAGCCCACATTTATCAGCATAAAATCCAGTGGTTGCACCACACAAGCTCTCACAAGCCAGTATTCTCACAAGCCAGTTACAGTGTTGTCAAAAGAAGCCTGCAACCAGCACATTTAACTGCCTATTTTGATTGAAAACTCAGGTGCCGCCTATTCTGTAAGCTAATAGGTTAGTCATCAGCACGATGTTGGAGAAATAAGATGGATATAAAATTGTTCAGTTAATAATTTGTTTGAACCCATATTGGATAGCAGGGAATAAAAAAAAATTTGCTAAAAAAGTGTGTGACAGGAATCGAAACTGATTTAAAGAGGCGTAAAATGTTCTACTGCAGAACCTTGGCACATCGTTTCTGAAGCGAACAAAACACAGAATAAAGTATCTTAAGAAAAGTCAGGTAAGAGGTGAGTTTTCGTTCTGTACAATGGCACTGCAATAAATAGCTCTGTAGTGTTTTTTTTTTCAGCTAAGCGGTAATTAATGAGAGAAGTGGATTTGTTTCCAGGATTATTGACAGCCGTTGGCAGTGTAAAACTGGCTGATATCCTCCACAAAACTGCAGAATAACTTGAAAATCTAATCGAAATTAATACAATCCTTTGTATTCAAATGCACCAGAATATCAAACATTTTAATGCCGTGAAATTCTGTATCCATGATTGCCAAATTTATCCGCTACACAAAACATCGCTTCTGTTAATTAGTAAAATGTTGATTTCTTTTTGGGGGGATTTAATGAGATTTTATTCTCACTGGGTTCTTAAGTTTTTAAAAGGACAATTTGATAATAGCACATTTTATGAAAAAAGCCGAAAAAGTAAAAGATTGAAAAATTCTTTTTCATTGCCTCCTTAACCTTTTCTTAATACAACTCTTATTTTATTGCACAAACTACAAAGGATGAAGTATATAAAACACAAATACAAATACAATACAGTAGAGTTAAACAATATGCTGAGTAAGGGAGCAAGTGTGATTTACATTGTATTAAATAAAATGAAGTTACAAATAAAGTGAGATAAATCAAGAAAAAGAAAACAATAGTAAGGGAGGCAAAACTTAAATGAAATAGGTCCACTCATAATTGAAATCTTCTCGTTGTTTATTATCTAGAGCAATTTGCTTGGGTGTGTCAATCCTCCCTAATCTTTTGTTGTGTCATTTATACATGTATGAACACTGAATTTGACAATGACTAATTAAGAGTTTAAAACCCATCTACAAGTGTACACAATGTTTGCTGAAAATATTTATATTGTATTTAAGAGTGAAATTTTCTAATTAGCAAACATAGCATGGCAGAAGTCGAAAAATCGATTTTTCTCTTTTTTCGTCCACAAAAGGCCCTTCAGTAGATATGAAACATGATACAGTTTTATGGAGCTCAAAGCGCTTTAAATTTGAGAAAATCAAAGAAAACGATTTTCGCCAAAATGGCCAGTGGCAAAGGCTTAAAATTAGTAATCTAAACTTAATTTGCGTTCTGGTGTAAAGAAGAGGCAAAACTTATTGATACTTTTTCTTGAAATACAAAGTATTCAGCTATCCAAACCAGGTTAGAACAACACATATCTTATTAGATGTTTTGATGTGCTAATTATTGCTCTATATTATTATGAGTTGCGCTGTATTTTGATGGGCAAGTCAATACACAAACAATGAGTAAAATTATACTTCAATACTACACATCAAGTCATCTACATGTAATAAGAGATTAATTACCCAACTGTTGTTGTCAATAATTATTATCAGCAAAAGAGGGAGAGTGCGACAGTTTGTGCACCCCTGAGAAGTAGGATTTCTGCTGTACTAATAACTAATTATATGTTATTTTGCTGTATATTTGCTCCCTTCATTGTGTTTTTTGGGCTATATTTACTTTGTATCAACCTCTCATCAATATGTTTTATCTGGGGAGTTGAACTAATTTACAGAACTCTTGGTGCAACTACTGTAATGAGGATGCTGACAGCCACTTGAAGATTCTGATTGAGTCATCAGAAACAAACATGGATGCACTTTTCTGTCAAGCAAATATCACACAAACCACTACCCATTGATCAACATGCAACCTCAAAACAAGCTGTTCGTAAGAAGTATAGAAAACGTGCAGTTTATCAGCATTATTGCTTTCTTTTTACGGCACTTACAGTAACATTTTAATGAAAGAACCTAGTAAATTCTCCATGCAAATTGATTGTTATTCAACATGTCTATATTTCCTTTACAGTCATGGAAAAATGTAATGTCAGAACCTCAGTGTAATTCAAACCCATTGAGGTGTCTATTTGGGGCTAACTAGTGACTTCTCCGATAATAACTTTTTATGTAAGAGGCTCAGTAATTCTAGGAAACCATCTTGACACTTCATGTACAAGTTAATTTGACATCCCTCTGTAAACAAAGTCCTCTTCTCTCAATAAAATCTTCCGCTTAAAATTTATAAGAATTCATCTATGTTCACTTGATATCAGCAATCAAAAATATCTATTATACCTAGGCCATTAATTTCTATACCTTTATCTTTCCAATGATTGCCTGCTCACTTTTAGGACATTACTCCCAAATACTGACAATTTATGAATGTGGGCGACCTTTTTTTTCAAAGATCCTGCTTGGGTGCCTAACATTGATTTAGAAATATTTTAATGAATCATTCTAGAACAGGGAAGAACAATACAGAAGTTATAAGCACTGTGAATCTATTTCCACAAAAATGCACATTACCATGACAATGCAATTTGTTCCTCTACTCCATTAACAGCTCCCACCTTACAGTCTCCATCCCTGATTGACTCCAGTTGGCTGAAAAAGCTTTAAACATGGGTACGCATTACAGACCTATTTTTCTCTTTAAGCAAAACAAAACAGTCGCTATAAAATCTGACATTTCCCAAAAGATGGTAGCAAAATCTTAAAACACAAGCGAGTTATTAAGAAAAAAGGTTTTTTTATTAACCTCATAGTGCATCAACTTTTGCACTAAATGTCTTCATCCAGTAACTCTTATTACAAGGGCCTCATTAGCATTTTTTGTTCACACGCTATTGTGCAGTTGTGTTCTTGTATTAAGGACGGTGCCTACTTTTGTTAGTGCGCACACATTCTGCACCTCACGTAAGGCATTGCTTAAGTGGCACGTGCATGCTGGGGTTGACATTGATGCAATCAACTATGCTGCCGAGTACACAACTAAAATGAAAGCAAAACTTTTCTACTGTGACCAAATCAAGTTTAATGAACTTGGACTTAAACCAAGAACACCAGAATAGCAGCATATCGCTAACCACTAACTGTTAACGTTTTCCAGCTGAAAAATTAGCTGTTATCTATTGAAAATTATACTGAAAACTAGCTGTAAACATGTATCTGCAGATGGTGTAATGTGCACGCAAAACGAATGTGGGATACGCAAATGTTTAACTTACTGGGGAGGTGACAGGAAAACATGTTACGGGCACTGTAAAAGTTTTGAAAAAAGATTAATGACTTTAATAAATGTGAGGTTACCCCTATATTTCATGTTATCAAATGGAAGTGGCAAGCCTATTTAACATGTAATTAGTTTCTGGTTGTGAGCAAAAGATATTTAGACTGTATTTTAGCTGAACCAGAGGAAGACTGTCAGAGACGCAAAAAGTGCTGTTGCAACGATTTTGTTATTAAAACCAAGGCAAAAAATGTTTTTTCTGTTACCATTTACCATGTAGCTTTAGATCTTTATAAATGTGTTTGCAAGGCAAATTCCAAGAAAATCTGTAAAGAAGTATCCTGTCCCTCTTTTTTTTTTTAGAAAAATGCTGATGTGAATGGTTCTGTTATCTGGTTTAGGGAATTGTGTGGTTGATTTTCATATTTAAAGTATGAACAGTTGTTCAGTGTTTGTTAATAACGTGCCAAAGAAACAAAGTAACATTTGGATAAGAAGGCATTACAATTGAAGCGATCATGCTATTACATTTGACAAGGTGGACAATGTCATGTGTTTTAAACATTTATCATTTTTGTTTCTGGTTCACCAGGAATAGTTGGCAGTAAATGCAAGTGAAAAGTGAAATTTACTGTCTAGCATTGTAAATATTGAAAAATCAAGGCAATACTGTATTAATGAAAACATTAATTATTCTCTCTCTATCAAATGAGATAAACGGAAATGAGTTTTGAGTTTTGTTGCAGAATGGCATTTTCAGGTTCTGCTTGTAAGGATGTACAAGGACATGGTCACAAGGTTTTTGCTGGAAGTTTCTGATGTAAAGATTTCGTCAAATGCAAAGTCTGGGCGATATTTTCATTTCAAATTGCAACAAGGTGAAGAGGAAAGGACGGTTATTTTCCTTAGTCAAGAGGAATTAGAGAAAATTATGCAAAAAGAGCAGAACAGACTTCCAGCTCATGTAACCAACGTAGGTATGCCGATGGTGAAGAATATAGAATGAACAAGTTGTCTAGACTATCCACAACGAAGAATATCTAGTTCTGTTACAGCCTTCATTTTCACTGTGAAAACTGTCCCTTATGTTTATCCTGACCTGACTTTCATATTTACTTATTAATATTTTAATATTTACTTATTAACTTTTTAATANAACCTAATGTGGCCCACTAGATCTTATTTCTGGGATAAATAATCAAAATTATTAATGTTTGAAATCCCTGTCCTGTTAAGTCTTATAATACCTCCAGCCGGAAAAAAGTGCACCTTTAGTCAACTGTAGGAAGAAGTCCCCCAGCTTGGTGCAATAAAATAATAAGGATACTACATACTGTATTGCATGCAAGTAAAATAACAATAATTTTCTTTCTTGGACACAAAATTCACGGTTTTTTATTCCTGTATATCTTGGTAATTGTTTGTGCTAGTCTCACTAGCAATGCAGCAATATTCAAAAGGATTGCAGATATGTCTCTACTAATAGATTTTTGAAACAATTACAGAACATACTAATGTTGACAAGTATCAAGCATTCTCTTCTCCATAATTCAAGTTTTGATGTCAATTTGTTTAAATCTCTCATTTCTAGGAGCAAAAAAAATTCTACCTAACCAGCCACCATGCGTCCGGCTTTTTTGACACAGTTGGACAGCATATCTTTCTCGCAAACAAATAGAACTACAAAGTCTCTTGGACTTAATTTGTTCATCCATCACTAAAATATTACATGTACAGTGTATATTTACTCAATCGTACATGAAGGTTGCCATGCATCTCATCCGTGAAGAAATTTTCACTCTGGTTGAACTAAATGGAATACCAAAAAAATGTAGTGTGAACGACAACAAAACTAAAAGATAAGGCAATTCGAAATTTTTGTCCCCTAAGTATTTAAAAACAAGCTTACAAATTTCAAGCTTGCAATACTAACACAGGCAGAATTTCAATGTGTGCGTACAAAATAAAACAATAAAGAAACAATGAAACCAAAACTTAACAAGAGTTTAAGCTTACCTTGGACTCCACAGCGAGAGAAAACGAGTGGAAACCATCAAATTCTCTTGTCCAGAAAAAAAGCTACGAGCTTAACTTCCCCCATATGCTAATCACAATCTCACTTTCTGGCTTTGTCCTACCGGGTGTTATGTATCAATTCTTTGACCTTGCTGACCGTGCTGTTGTGAATGATACATGACCACAGTCATAAATACCTCTACCAGCTTTCATCTAGGTGTGAGCAAAAGCCGATGGGCAAAAACAACATATTTACGAAAGAAGATCACATGAGACCAAAATGGCCAACGTCAATCTTCGAGGTGTTCGACAAACTCGTGCCCAGGCTCTCGATTTATCAGGCAAAAATTTACGCCTTTCTAGTCTCCCCTCGTCAAAGAACCTTCCTGAGGACGACTGAACACTCTTGCACAAAAGCAATACTTAGCAGGGGAGGTAGGAGAAAATTGTTTAATCCAGGTTTAATGAATAAATTAATTAGAATGGAGTGAGTGAGTGAGTGAGTGAGCGCCATCCGACTGCCTCCTAAGCTCATGGATGTTATTTCATCCATTAGCAAAAAGGAAGCACTCTAAGATTAAAATTGGACAGTACAGTCCATGCCACAGCACCAGACAGACTCTCAAGTTTAAGAAATAACCCACTTTTCTTTCTTTAGCTAGGACAAAGGATTTAGCATTGAAATTCATGTAATAGGACATACCAACCTGCGGGCTTTGTTAGCTGCACCAATAATTTGCCTTGCTACATTTCTCTATCATACACGTATCTGTAATTTATAGACATTTTTGCCATATTCACATTTGAATAACACCTTTGATCAATATTATACCTCAAACTACCCTAACATTTACAGTTTTCGCACACTGCAACATATACAGCTTTCAGAAGCCAGTCTACACTACAGTTAAACTTTGTTTAATAAGGTCACTTACATGAGACACAAGGCATCTGTCTTTCATCAGAGGAAAAATATCATGAGGTAGTTTGGGAAACCAGAGCAGCATCTTTGTGGCTCCTACAACAGATGTGATACAGCATAGTGGACCATACTTCCCCTTCACATGATAGCTTACTTTGAGAAGAGATGCTGTAAGATCCCTTAGAAAAGTTTCTTTACTGGGGTCTGCAAAAAGAAGACTAGTGAGACAATCTCAGATAACGCAGAGTACAATTTACGACTCTGACACAGTAGTCACACAGGTCTTTGCCCCTGCCATTCTCTTCCTTGGTAGTCAACTAGGCTTTTTCCCCTTTGCAGAATATGAGTGGACAAAAACTTGATAAGACGTAATCTTAGCAGTGTGTATGTTTCATGTTTGTATTTCTTTCAAGGCCCAAAAATAACTTACAATTACCATTTGTCAAGATGGTGTTAAATTTTACTGTGGTATTTTATGTTGAATTTCATTCATTTTAAATCCAATAATATGGAGAAGTAGCAAATGTGACAATTTTACTTTTCACGCCAACATTTGTAACTTGATACTTTTGTTTTCCTCGCCAATGTACAGAACAAGTTACCTTTGTTTCCTCAAAAATATAAGAAAGATGTGTATTTTTTTTACTCGTGGCTGGAGATAAATGGAATATAAAAGTTAAATATCTGCTGAAAACTAGAAGATGAACGATTTTGTTTTATTTGAAATCAGCGATAAATAAGAACTAATCTAATTATCAAATAGTCACATCGAGTCATGGAATAGTGCGTCCATATTCTGTTGCCAGTTAACAATAAAACCACATTAAACTAATACACAATGCTATCGAGTAACACAACTGAGGAACATTTCAACGAGAAGTATTGGAGGTAGGGATTGTTACTTGATCAAAATTATATCCCACATCGGTGAGTGAGTCACCTCATAGACTGATGAAAATAATTGGCAGTTTCAGTAAATGCCACGGAGTCTGCGGCAATGATATCAAAGTTTTTTGTCACAAATTTACTAGTTTTACGCATAACTAACGCAAGGAAGTTTCAGCTGAATATGAACTTTTGACTCTCTTTCATAGAGGAGGAAACAAACAAGCTGCTAAGGAGAAGCAATTGTTTCCATTTTTTGTTTGAACCTTGGCAAACACACAATAGTTATAACACAGCAGACAACATTTTTTTGAATCGAGCTAGTGAAGATTGGAGAAGATACGCAGTCACAGTAGCGTTCTTTGCACTAACAAAAGAGAACTGAGGTTACCTGAAGTATAGCTGCCATAGAGTTTATTACCTAGAGATGAGTGATTGTAAAGCCGTAGAGCCATAGAGTTCATTATCTAGATGTGTGTGATTGTAGAGCTGTAAAGTTCATTACGTGGAAGCAATCATCAAGGAACGAGTTCAGGCGTGAAGTTGAATAAAAAGTTCTACAACAGACCAAAAAGCATCGGTAGCCATGGTAACATGCCACCATTTTATATATACATGCAAGAGAAGAAGTAAAAAGTGATCGGTGATCAAAGCGTAAAGGTGTAGCACTCTATGAACACTCTTCTAAGGTAATATGAGGTCCATTAAACGGGCACCAATTGCTGCCCCAATGTCCAAACCTCTTCTCTTTTACATAAGGTTATAACAACAATATAGCTTCTAGCTTGAAATCCCTTTCATGTTTTTACAATAGACCCACTGCATCCTTTTCTGGATAAATTAGCAATTGATGATAGAAATACATACCCTTTTATAATTACCTCTAGCCTAAAAATAGTATACCTTAGTCCACTATAAGGAGAGCCCATTCCTTACAGCTTGATGCAATAGGAATAATAAGGGCCAACTTGATCATAATACATGACATAAGTCTGTATTGCTTGTAAACTTTGTACTTCATTTGTTCATGTTAGATGTGAAATGATTGATCACAGCTATGAAAATTAAGAAAACCCCATTGGCTGACTTTTCTCATTCTTGCTCTTTTGAAATAATTACAGTAATTTTAGTAGTACAGTCAACTCTTGTTATAGTGGAAAGCTCAGGGATGTTGTTTATTGTCCGTAATAGCAAGAGTCCATAATTGCTGGTTGTGAGATAAGAAGTGCCCTAAACATGCAATAAATAACATAAGCCCCAGTGAAGAAGCAAGGACTATTGTGCAGACAACAAAAAATTGATGTGAAAATGAACATTCCAGAAGTCTTTTGAAGTATATTTTGACACATGAATAACAGCAGAATGTAATTTTATTTAATCATGTTGTGTGAGAAGTACATGGTGTCCGCTCTATCAAGAGTCAATGCAATAAAATTGTCATTTTGGTACCACGAAAGTCTCCGTATTTCCTTAATAGCATGAGTTGTCATGTTATCCACAAAATGACATTTTAATCAGTTACATTCAACGACTGTTTTTCTTTCATAATTCTAGCATTGTTTATTTTATCGCATGATCATTACATATCCGTTCTTTGGCTAGGCATATAAAGCTCTATTCATTTTTATTTCCTTTTTTTCAGAAGGCATGCATCAGATTAGTTTTTCCTTAAGCATGTTTACTGTGTTGTAAGGAGTCCACCACACTGTTAGGAACTATCCTAGAACTTTTGGAGTTGTTTCAACTTTAGGAGATTTGGAGCTCTTACCCCTAGAGTTAAGATCAGACGTAAGCCACGATGTAGACCTTGTAGTTTGTTTTTCCTTCTTTTTCCTACATGGAGTATTATCGTAGTTTTTGCTTCTTCTGATGTAAAAATCGAAGGTTTCCTTTCAGTTTTCACTGCAAGTGCTCTAAATAGTTGGACTAGCCTGATTTTAACAAACGCGTTGAATCTTGCTGACTGCCTAGTACTTCTCTGTGGTTGACCTGGTGAACTCCAGTGCCTTACGCCACGTGTCTACGACACTGGAAACGTGACAGGAGTCATTTCCAATCATACCTCTATAGCTTTTATCTGGGATCTGGATTTTGTCCGTAATAGTAAGTGTCCTTAATGATGGGGTGTTCGCAAGGCAAGAGTTGACTGTACTTGTGTATTAGTTACATGCAAACTGTAATTAAGCATACATACCAAACTGTGAAACAAGTAAGTGCAGCTTTACGACTTGTTCACAAATTGTTCTAGTTTGATAGCGTACTCCCTGTAATTAGATTTACAAGATATAAGTTAGGATTCCACTGCCTGTAATAAATCGACAATCAATATTTAGCACTGGGTTCACCTCAACTGGATGGTCCCAGTGGGTCCAGACATAGTTCAGAAGTTTGGTTGGAATAGGTGATGTGCCATACAATTTGTCCTTTATCCATGACTTTTCGCAGCTATAGCTGATAGCTATTTCCCTAAAACATGAAATAACAAATAACAACAATCATCAGCAAATAAACTTCAATCAATAGCTCCAGAAATAACCCATGAGCATTGCCGAATACAGTTTTTACCTCATAGGAACTAAGAACAAGGTATACTACAATAAAGTACTGGTTTTATTTCCAAATGACATTTGAGTCACTTACAAACTTCATTGCTTAGTAAACTAGTAAACTTTAAACACAATTTGTCTTGAATTGATTGCCATATAATTGACTATTTAGCCCAAGATGGTCTAACATTATCAATTCACATATGCAGAGCCCAACAAGGTGATAATTATTTGCATTGACTCTACTTGCTTCATTTTATGCCCTCAAGAATTTTGTAACATTATTTTCCATGAATTGGCTACAAAACACTTTTGTCCTAAATGACAAGTTGATGTTTGTGTTTAACTGTTTCACCAATTTGAAGTTGATAATTATTTGCCTGTTTTGAATGCTGGGCATTTCGCTTCTGCAACATGTATTTTAGGATTTCAGATTTCCTGCACCCCACCATGTTTATTTTTGCAAAGCTTCATGGGAAATTATGACATCATTGTGCGGTTGGATGTTTTTTAAAATACAGCATGGCGTGAATCTAGGGATACAGAAGTGTTTCTAATCATTTATAATTCATATTTAGAATGAATATCTACAGTTCCAACTAAAAATGGTCTTCTGAAGACTCCACACTCTCTGGCCACAGAATGACATAATAAATTACCATAAAGTAAACATGGCATCATCCTTGTGATTTAAACTGAAAATTAAACACTTCTCGTTCAAACCACTTACAGAGATATCCACTTAAAACCCAAGGATCCATTTAAGAGAACCATTAGGTATACTTTGGAATTTGAACTGCTTTTTCAGCCGAGTCCTTTAAACTAACCTGGCCTGACTTGTCCACAGAGTGAGGGTTTGGAAGGCTAGAAGAGATCTGCTGGGTTCCCTTAGGCTGAAAAGAGCACACACATAGTTCATTGAACCTTGAAAATGTTTTACTGAATGTGTACATTTCAACAAATTAACAGCAAGATATTAGTATCTAAAGAAAGTGTTGGGCTGCACTGGTGGGTAATTATTCATCAACTTTAAATTGATAAAGCACCTCATGTTACTACGTAGTCCATCTGTTTTTCATGGAATCAATCACATTTATTTGCATGGTCATGAAATGTCCACCAATAAGAGTGTGAGGATCAAATCAGAATCTAATTTTAGCATGGAAATGAGAATCATATTCTCTGGTAGCACAGGCATTCTAATTACTCTTCCCTTTGCAGCTCATTTCTGCTTCCTTGCAGACAAAAAAGAGCAAATCAAACAAAAGCCCTCTGAGAGGAAATGTGGTGAATAGCTGAAAAAATAAAGAATTGCAGGGTTGTGGCTTTATTGGAAAGTATTGTTTTTAAATGAGTGCTTGACACATTTTTTTTCTTAGTTGGACCTTTTATTTTGAAAAATCTCACATAAATACATAATTGCAATTAAACTACTTACAATAAATTTACCTATAATATGTTAATTACTATAAACTACTTACTACTTTTTTTTCAACATTAACATTACGCTACGTACAACACTAACGAGTAACTAATGTACTAATAATAATAATATATAATTACAACTGATTTCTACAGGATATATTCTATTCAATTTACGTAATTGCTAAGATGAAAATTTTGAGGGTTTTTTTTTGGATTGTGAGAAGTAGAGGACAAATTGAACTAAGCAAAGCTTTCTATTTTCAACGTAAAATTTAGTTTCTAGATGAAAACATCTCAATTACATGCATGTTGGCTGATTTTCTGGAAGCGAAAGTAGAATTTGGCACAGAGGAGGCAGAAATTTAGTTTTTTTTATTTTATTATCGTTATCAGTAGCTGTTCTGGAGAGTATTTCTTTTGCATTTAATGTGATGGAAGAGTTTTCCTTTTCATTAAACCAGCATAGCACTTTCCAGAGAAAGTCGACTGCAATATGACAACCTAAGAAGGAGTGAAGTAAAGAGTCATCATCCCCGCAGTAGCGACAACTCTTGTTGTCTTCAATTCCGTATAAATGTAATTCTTTCTTTGTGGTGACAATACGATGAGCAAGTTTGTAAAAAAATTCTTTTAATTTGTTTTGCTTACAGATTGACTTTTTCTGCTTTAAAACTGTGTTCCAAGAGAGAGTGAACTGTGGAAGGTTGCGTTGCCACTTGCTAGGGCCAGTCCTGCAAGGTTCCTTCCTGTTCAAAAAAAGGCAGTAGTAATCTTTACATATTAATTTAGATAGGTCGATCAACAGCGACGGTTACAGGTGAAGAGTGGAATTCCCTGGAGTAAAACTTGAACTGGTGCCAAAAGAGTCCCTTGCCTTTTCCAGAAGTTGTTTAGGGATAGCCGACAGAATTTGAAAATAGACAGAAATCTGCAAAATTCAAGTACATTCCACTGGAATCAAGAATGTCACAAATTCAGTAGACTCCTTGGTCTAACCAATCCTGATAAAACACAGTTTTACCACCTATTTGTATTTCTTTGTTGTTAAAAAGGATTAATTCCTGGTCTCCGTTCGTGTCATAGATACTCTTTAGTTCCAAAAAGAAACTCAGAATTTGCTTGTACAAGGATGGCATTTCAATCAACTTTAGGAAATTTTCATTAAAGTTACAGTGAAGCAAGAAGTATAAGCCCACATATTTCTTAAAGAAAAAACATGGGATGACTTTCCAATTTTCTGTCCCCAGGCTGTCACTTTTTAGGAACCTTTGAATCTATGCCAAATGTAAAGCCTTACACAAAGTTTCAATGTGTGATACACGCAGTCCACCTCTTTCATAATCTTGATATAGAACTACCCTTTTAATTTTGTCCTGCTTTTCCTTCCAAATAAATTTAAAAATTGAAGATTGAATTTTTGCAATGTAATCCTTATGAATGTCTAGCACGGCAGCAGAGTGAACAATCTGTGAAATCCCTAGAGACTTAACGATTAAACAGCGCCCGGAGATCGAAAGTTGGTGAGATCTCCAGGTACCCAGTTTTGCATTAAGGTTTTCAATTTTTTGGTTGACATTTTTTCTCTCATTTCCCGCCTTATTGTAAGAGATATGAATCGCCAAGACTTTAAGCAGTTCTTTCATTCATATGAAGTTGAGAGGTCTTTCCGTACGCTGTCTCCAAGGACCTAGCCAAAGAGCTTTGGTTTTGGATTCGTTGAGTGCTTGACACATGTTCTCTGCATCATAGTGCCCAACATTAGGGACTTTAAGACGTGAAGATGGGAAGCTCAAGACAGGAAAAACTTGCAAGTTCCGTCATCTCGCCAAAGACAAAATCCTTGAGATGTGTATTTCTCGTATAGGACGGTGACGTCAATACCTTGAACTTAAAGCTTTTCACAAAACTAATGACATTCCAAAGTCTACAGATCGTAAAAATCTGATTGTATTAAGCTGAAACGATGGTGAACAGACGACACTGAATTTATTTTTCTTTATACATATGAAGCAAACATCTCTCATCTGTCAGTATTATTTCCACAGGAAAACAGGAATAAAGGTTGTAACACGCTCACAACACACTTCCACTTTGAGATAAAACAATTTGACTTCACCATGCTGAAAGTAAGTTCAGGAGCACACTTCAGTAGTAAACTCTTTAATTTGGTTGGACACACTAAGAATGAATGAATGAATGAATGAATGAATGAATGAATGAATGAATGAATGA